GGTTTTGACGGTGCGGTTTTGTCACCGCGCTTTAGTCACACGCGCTTTAGTCTACCGCGGTTTTGTGGTGGAACCGGTTACTGAGGAATAACCATTTCCTCTTGTTTAAAAATGGAGTTAATATACCTCAAAGCTCCATGTTTTGAAATCAGAGCCACAACCTTTTCACATTTTCTTTCTAGAAAATGATTCTAGAAACTTTGGTGTTTTTTGTTTTTTTACTATTCCCTTCAAGTTTCTAAATCTTGCATTTGAGTTTCAGGTGTTCTTTTAGAATTAGACAATAGGAAAGAAGCTACCCATATTCTCAATCTTACATCTGCACCTGAAACAAAATGACAGCACGAACAAAGCCATTTCAAAGGGTGGTGACTAAAAAAAATATTACCAAGTATGAATTGCAATATATTTACTGAAAATGTAGTGAAATTTAGAATAATTAGTATTAAGAATGTTCATTGCCGTCGTTATCTGTAGCCTGGACCATAATACAGCACAGCATCAGGTATCTGTGGAAATTGGGCTGCATTCAGTTAAAAGCAGACAGCAAGTCCTGTTAATGAGATCCACTCATACAGTCAACATCAGCAATCATAGGAAGGACTCTTTTAAGTGTAGCAAGGTCACTCATCCTAGTATAGCTGTTAAAAGCTCATACACACCAGCTGAGGGCAGTGCCAGCATTACTTTCCTGAGGAAGGCCAGTGCAAGAGGGGAATTTGGCTAGGAACACATTTATGAGAAAGTCGTTTTTTAAAAAAATTCTCATACTAGGGTGCATGAGAGATATCTTTCCTGTTTAATCTGAACGTAGTACTGTATCTATAATGACAGGCAAATGATGATTGTAACTCTTTCATAATGCAAGAAAACCAGGCTAAAATACATCTCCCATTGGTTCACAACTATGCAAAAACCTCACAGCTATATGCTTGATCACAATATATAAACATATTTTATAACTTTGTGAGTGTAATTGGTGTCCACATATGATTTGCAGCTGATATTGTTAAGAATACAAAAGACTTAATTATCTGTTTAACATGCAGTTATTTTAGTGAATTATGTATTTCAATGAATCTTGTACAGAAGTGTATAGCTCTAATTACACCACCCAAATTTAATTTTTCCTAATTAAACATACTAAATTATTTTAATAAGCATTTATAGATTTGTAGCAAAGTATCTGAAAACTATGAACCTGAAGGTACTTGTGTATTAAATGCTGTTCTTTTTTAATGTGTGGAACAGGGCAAAATCAAAAAATGGAGGGAGATCTTTGAGAGAAAAACTGGACAAAATAGGATTAAATTTGCCAGCCGGGAGACGTAAAGCTGCTAATGTTACCCTGCTGACATCACTAGTGGAGGGTAAGTGATGGCTTTTTGGCAGCAGTAAAGGCATTATTTGGAAATGTTTCTTTTTGTTAGCTGTGGAAAACAAACCTTGTGGACCCTGAAATGTTTATGCATATTGTTTAATTTACATTATTATTGGTCAATGTGACCTTTTCCTCTTGTATTTTTTTTAAAGGGACTCTCAGCCAAAATCCATTGATGTCAAAACATTGGATGTGGCTTTATTGATATTTATTTGGATTGCAATGCATTTCAGAGTTGGATGCTAAATCTCAGTGAAATGAATGTAAGCAAAATGGCATGCAGTGTAATGCTTCACTTTAACTGGGTTGCTAGTTGATTGATCACTTGGATTAAAAAGTAGGACTGAAAACATTAACAGAGTAAACATAACTAATGGATTAATTTATTAATCACTGATTGACATGGTAGATTTTAATTGGATTTTAATCAGTGTAATCCCAAGTGAAGGGGCAAAATAGTGAAATGTACAATTATTGTTTATATCTTGGTTTAATATAACAAGGATTTGGGTTATGATGATTTTCCATACAATGTGTGACTTGACTGAACTACTTTCTTAAAAGAAACTGCTGCTCTTCAACAGCATCTCAAAATGTAATAGATTAATTATCATGCTAAGTCATATAATTGGGCTATAATTTATAAACTAGTAGAATTAGAAAACATGTAGTCATACTGAAGATTATTTAGTCCATTTATCACAGAAGATAGTTGCTCCTTAAATGCATGTTACTGTAAATATATTTAAGAAATGAATGAATTTTAATATTTACAAATACATTAAATATAAATAGTTCATCTATATTATGTAGTTAACAGAAGATCCAATTATAAGTCCTATAAAATTCAGACTGAAAATCAAGTTAAATATGAACAATATTAGTCACTTCAAATTCTACAACCATGCCTTTGAAGTCCATAGATTTATTGCATTATTTTTGCTGAAGTGAATATAGCTTCATATAGCTTTATTTAACTCAAAATGACTCCTTAATTATAGACAGTATAACATCAATCCAGAGAAACATTAGGAATATAAGAATGAATTCTGAGCAAGTCCCTGTTTACTATTATATGAGTAAATGCTTTAAAAATACTGTCGTTGGGTGAAAATGTCAATTGTTTTATTAATTGAATCCCAAATAATGTTTTTTGTTTAACTTTATTTTTATTCTGTTTAGCTTTGTCTTTATTTTGTAGTGTTTTCAGAGTTGAACAGAATATGTGTATATGCACATATATAGTGGCCTACCAAATGGGAACATTGTTCAGATGAAAAAAAAACCAAACGCACTATATCTATTCTTGATTCTCTGTCTTTATGCTTGATAATGGTACAACAGACACAGAATGACTGCCAGCATTACTGGCAGCATGACCACTAAGGAGTTACCATCTCTGCTAGTTGCTTCAGAAACTAACTATATGAGCAATTTTACACCAACAGACAGGGAGGAAAAGAAATCTGTTTAGAAATGAAACCAGGATTTTAAAATTTTATTTTGGCACATAAAAAGCATGCTGCATTTATATAATGTAACAGGTAGGCTGGAAGTTTATTGGACCCAACAACACTTATGATCTGTTTCCAGTGCTCAGGATTTCATTCTTTGCACATTAATACACATTAAAAAGTTGGATCCTACAGCTACCTTAAGATACAACTCTGCTATTTTAAGCTACATACCAGTAGCTTATTCATATTTAAATCATTTTGACATTTGCATTTGAAAAAAATAGAACTTTTAACTTCTTAAATTAATTTGGGAATCCTTGACCTAACCTAAACCATGATTTAATAGTGTCCTAATCTTACAGCAAGCTTCTGATCTCCTCTTTGCTTGGTATAATTAAGCAAAACAGAAATGCTTTATTTTCCTTCTATTTTAATTGTGAAAAGAGGATGGGTGAATGTGCTGTTTGAACACTTAGAGGTCAAAAGGGGTGGACATGCATCTCCCTTTATGTTAAAATAGTTATAAAGTTTATAATGAGAACAAGAAATGCAAGGGGCATGCTAAATTGAGAATTACTTTGTAGTAGCTATTGACCCAAGGAAGTTGATACAAGCTGTCCTATACATGCAGTCTTCACTAGGTTTTAATTTTGAGGTCTTTAACCTTGACTTTGGTTATGTAGAGTGAATTTTAAGTCACTCTTCATGCCAAGTTAGCTTTAGTTTTGCTTACTAACAGATTATAGCCATTTTTTTCTCCCTTTTTTTGCTTGCTTTTCCTTTTTTTAAGTTTAAAGAAGTGAAGCTACAGCATTATAAAAATGCCAAGTGCCACTGAAAGTCCATCAAGGAGTCTTGCCATTAATAAATAGTGTACTTAAATGCCACCAGCAACTAATGAGTAATCAAGGAAAGCAAAAGAGAGTTTACAAGTAGCTGAAGAAAAAAACCAGGAGAACAGGAAAAAGGGGGAAGGAGATAAATGCTAATATTGTGATGTTAGGGAATATTTTAAACATTTAATAAAATCTATAATTTCAAAGGGGGAATCATTTTTTTTTAAAAAGCCACGGTTTGATCATCATCATTACGATGAAGAGAAACACAGGAATAAGGCTAATGCATAGATAAACTAATAATAGTGCCTAATTTTTCCCCCTCTGAAGAGATAATAGACGATTGTTTGGGTTGTGGTCCTTACGCGATGAGGCCGCTTCCAAAGTCCTGTTATTGTTTATGATCCGCTCCATTTTATGGAAACAAGCTCCGTGGACTGAGGCTTTGAAGCTCTAATTGGCGCATGCGTTCTTCCGGACCTCGAGCTAATGGCAGGAAGCCCTGCGGTGAAAACCAACTGGTTCAGGAAATTAAAACCAAAGATTTGAAAATCAACAAAACAGACAGTCTCAATGGAATGACCCTAAAATTCTTATGGTTAATCGTTTGAAAAAAAGGGGGGGAGGGGGGAGAGGAAGGGAAGGAAGGATAATTATATGCAATCAAGTTAAATTTTAAGCACTTAACTATTTAATGCAGTCTACAGGGTGGGGATTGAAATAATGATCAATGATCAATATTAATCTCTAGGAACAGAATAATTATATGTTTGGTATGTTGTTTTCCCTATGCATATACATAATGTATCCCCGTAATGTAATATAAACAAATAGAAACATAATCCTTACAAAACAGAGATAAAATACTTGGGATATGTTTATTAGTATGTTAAATAAAATGCCATAAACATATTGCAATATAATTTAGGACTAAAAGCAGATTACATCTACCACTTTGTGAATTGCTTAATCCGCCGCTCCCAAAGGATTCTTTAGGATCAGTATTAACACGCTCGTAGTTTGATATAAAACAATGTATTTGGCTCTCCCTCCTCCCGTAACAACTTATTACCTTTAATAAGGTAGTTAATAAGGAAATGTCTTTAGCACACTGAGATATTAGTCTTTTCTAAAGAAGCGCTTTACCAGTAGATTGCAAAGTGCCAGTTAATCTTGATTGAGTGGATATCACGTGAAGAACCCAAAGATGCACGGCGCGAATTCCCACCTTCCTGTCGCCCGCTTATGCTTTGGGTATTAATTATGTATTTCCTCCCAATCTGCATTTCAGGAGAAGCCGTGCACCTCGCGAGAGATTTTGGTTACGTCTGTGAAACAGAATTTCCTGCCAAAGCAGTAGCTGAATTTCTCAACCGGCAACATTCCGATCCAAACGAGCAAGTCACAAGAAAAAACATGCTTCTAGCGACGAAGTAAGACTTTTTATCTCTGCGGAATATTCCTAAGGAAGATTTTGTTTATTATGTTTGGTTGGGCCCTGAGCTTTTCCCTCTGGTGCGTTTGCATTTGTTTGCTGCGGATATGTTATTCTCCGTTCCTGCGTGATTGCCTTGACGAGGTAACTAAAACGTACACAATCCTCATCGAGGGGAAACGGTATTATTGCCAGTGACGCTATTGTTGAAACCAAGCAGACCTATGAGAATGATCCCCCTCCCTCCCTTGGATGCTGTTACTCGAGGCGTTCAAATGGGAAGAAAATGGCATATTATAATGGCGAGGCTCTGTAGATTTATCTGAGAGTAAGCCCCGTTAAGTATAGTGGGATTTATTTTAAGGATTGTAGACAAGATTGCGTAGTTATTTGGAAGTAAGTAAAATTGATCTCAATGGAACTTACATGCTGAATAAAAATGCTGAAGATTGATTAACTGTGAATTCAGGTATTAAAAGTATTTTACTTCTAAGCAACTAAAATGCCAGTGGGGGTTTATTTTAAGACAAAGGCTCTAGGGATAACTTAATAGAAAAGATATTCAATATTCAGGTTAGGTGGTGGGGGAAGAGGAGAGAGAGAACTCTCCATTATTGTAAATGATGTGTTTGCTGGAAATTAAAATGCTTTCCCCCTCATAGTAGTTAATTACAGATGGTGATTCACCAAAGAACAGTGGGCCAGAGGGCACCCAGTTATTGAGAGAGATATACAACTGAAATATGTCTCAATATTGCCCTTTAGAAACTCAATTGCTGCCATATATATGCTCCCAGGTTTTTTTCCCCTCTGCTGGCAGTTTATTTAGATACTGGTATGAATCTAATTTCTGAGTGGATCCCTTTATTCCAGTGCTTTGTGACCTATATAAACACTACTGCATCTCTCTAATGCTACTAAAACGTATATGAAACGAGAGTCCTGGAATTGATAAGCTAAAGAAGTAGCTTTGAGAACTGTTCACTTTCTAAATTGGAGGGTTTTTTGTCCATAAAATTATGGTAACTGTCACATTTTATTGTCAATTTGCTTGCTGAGAATAATGGAACTTTTCATAAACACACGTAGAGGGTCCTAAGTGAAAAAAAGAAAAGAAAAAATAGTGTGTTATTGAGATCAATGCAACTTACTTTCAAGGAAAATTACAAGCTTATAGTAATACTTAGATCTAAAAAATAACTGTTGACTTAAAGCCAGAAGACTAGACATGGATGTTAATTACAGAATTTGTAATTAACAAGTTTGATGGGGTAAACAGTGGGTATTACTCTGGAGGAAGGAAGTGGGAGACATATTTTGTATCAAGGAGAAATGTGTATGCTTGTGTGATTTCCATAGAACTTTCTGACATTTTTCATGTGATTATGAAAATGTGGATGTATATGACAGGAAAGAGTTAAAATAAAACAGAGATGTATTGAGCATGACAGAGAAACCTCAGATATCAGCATCAGTAAATAAATGTGAGGGCACATTGGGATGAAGAACACAGTTTGATGCAAACTGCTGTTCCAATAATTATTGATATAGTAGTAGCTTTGTATCATATTTTCATATTTTCCACACAGTAATCTATAAATGTTATCCTTGGGATGAAATAAAGACATGGTCCTCATTTTCGGACACATAGCTGGACGCATACTTAAGGGATTACTAGCACCCTATAGGTATCTAATATACTTGTATGCAATGTATGTACATGCACTGAGAGAGAGAGAGAGAGAGAGAGAGAGAGAGAGACAGACAGACAGAAACAGACAGAGACAGAGATAAATGTAGGAAAAAGATTCTAGATGCCACAAGATAAGAGAATGATCTAGTGTAAAAATGCATCTGTGTGTTGAAAGACAAAAAAAGGAAAATATTGTTCCTGGGAGAAGTGGATGTACATCAGTGCAGAGGACAAGCCAGGGAGATGAGAGAAAGAGAAAGGCTGTTATACTGATGTCAATATTTCTATATAGGGCATCAGCGGTGCAGAACATGAGAGAGCGGGTAAAAGAGCAGAGATTCTTTCTTTGCGTGCATGTGTGACTTTGCTGTGGAGGCAACTGACTCCTTGGCTCGCCTGCCTCCTGACAAGACTGGCTTATTTTCCTCCCTCCCCTTCTCTCTGCTCCATTTATGCTGCAGACAGATCTGTAAGGAGTTCACCGACCTGCTGGCTCAGGATCGATCTCCACTGGGGAACTCTCGGCCCACCCCCATTCTGGAACCGGGCATCCAGAGCTGCCTGACCCACTTCAACCTCATCTCTCACGGCTTTGGCAGCCCTGCTGTGTGCGCAGCAGTCACTGCCCTGCAGAACTATCTCACCGAGGCGCTCAAGGCCATGGACAAAATGTACCTCAGCAACAATCCTAATAGTCATACAGATAACAGCACCAAAAGCGGCGACAAAGAAGAGAAGCACAGAAAATGAGGATTTTCTTCTTGCAGCCCCAACCAGACCAGCCAGCCTGGCCCTCCCTCCCCTTCCTCCTCACCCTGAGGCTACAGCAAGAGAAGCTCAGAAATCTGTCCCAGCCTATTCACTCAGGAGGACCGGCTAATTCACATCTCTTTCAGCCCCCTACCCACCATTCTCCTTTTTCTTCTCTCCTCTCTTTCCCTGCCTCCATCACTTCCCAGTTCATTTCCAGTTGCTACCCAGTTTGGAGCCCGAGAAAACAAAGGTGGCGATTGGGCCATCCTAAAAGGAAAAAAAAAACATTTTTTTTGTCGTCTTTGTGAACTTTTATTATTTTTAACAAAAATAAATAAACTGCTAAAAATAAAACAACTTTTTTTTCTAAAAAAAGAGAAAGAACTAAGTTTAAAGGTTAATAATTAATGAAATGTGGAAAAAAATGAGCTTCATCGGACTGGATCACCACCTTCTCTTATACAAACTTCCGTTTAAGATTGTAGCCATATTTAAACAAAACAAAACAGGAAAGAAAGGATGATAATGATGATGATGATGATGATGACATTTTATCAGTATTGTGAATAAACTTGAACACAAACCACATGCAGTTCCATGTCATGTCTTCAGTTTTAGCACCTCTCTCCTGCCAAGGTAAAGCGACTAATTTGAACTTTCTTATGGTGACACCGATTCATAGTGCTTCTATAAGGGAATCAGTGTTCTGTATGTATATATTTATTTATGTGTAATTTAATGGGAACTGTAAATATGGTGAGTCTGTTTGAAGCTTTTTTTAATTATTTATCTGGTGATCTCGTTTACCTCTTGTTTAGTGGGTTTTTAAGTCTTTCCCATCTTAGTTCCATCACTGTGGTTCATAGTTACTTATTTAGAAAATGGGAGGGGAGTTTTTTAGGGGGAGGTGGGGTGGTATTTTCTGGGATTCATCACTTCAGCCCTGTTGTAGCATGTTATAAAAAGGCGACAATAAAGCAGCTAAGCGATTGAAGCAACTTGGATTTTTACAAATATATTATTAACATTATACTTAATTTCCACATTGATAAAAGGAAAATAAATCAACCATCCAACCCAGACTGACCACCATTTCCACTGAAGTAAATTAGGTTCCCCTTCCAAAAACATTTTTTCTGCATGTTGATAATTTTTAACAACTCTTTGTATGCTGTGGCTTTAAAAAAGTTTATATCCAGGGTCTTTCTATTGAAAGCATAATCAGAGCAATAAGTTGATATTGTCTATTCAGATAAAGAACTGGGGATCTTCTCTTCCCTCTCCCCTTTTTCATTTTGAGTTGCCTTTTGGTTCAAAGAACTTCCATACATTGGGGACCACCTGGTATCCTCTATTTCCACCGGCCATATTGGAAGCAGTTACAGTTGTATTGTATTGAGTTGTGCTGGCAGTAGTTTCCATGCCTGTCAATGTATCATAGTCCTTTGTTGCCCAGATAAATAAATATTTGATACGCTTTATGTCGATTTTTTTTATTCAGTGGCTGTCTTTACCCAGGCGTATTTTTGTTCTTGGCAGTATTTTTTATTCAGTATGGTTACAGTAATTGAGTTTAACTCTCCCTTGACAATTGCTCTTTGCAATAAGCAGCTGAACCCATTGTTTCCCTCAAGTATAATAAAAACTTACTTTCAAGTTGGAGTTCAGAGCAGGGTATCATTTAGATATTCCACTGAGTCTGTATTCAGACAAATTACACAATAAAACAAAATGTATTCTTTTGGATTAAAAAAATATTGTACTGTTGAAGAAATGGCATTTTAATTTCCTTTAACTGAAAGGTGATTTTATTTTTTAAAAATAAAGTTTTATTTTATTTATTTGATCTTTAGGTTTTGTTCTTGTTTCATAACTATATATCAGGGTTACCCATTTTAAATGTGTGACATAATATGAATTGCTTTTTAATTTTCAATGCCATTTAAAAGATGGGGAAGAGAATTATATCTGACTAAGAATTATGTATATTCACATACAAATGTTCATACAGAACACATTTTTTTAAAAAAAATGTGTCTATGTAAATGCATGGGATACGTTTTCATATTAGGGAAAATAAGTAATCCCACTCATCTTGGTTGACTGACATATTACTTCAGATGTATTTTAGGTTTGATCTTATGAATATGTGCAGGTCATATTACTCTAAACATTTAATCATGTGATAATAGCTTTTCTAATATTTTGGATGAGGAAGATCTTATTTTGAAATAATACATGTTTAATGATAAGCAATGCAACTCAAACTTTTAGATAAGTGTGAAATATTTTATTTTCATATTGGATAGATTTTAGTTCCAGAAGATTAGGATATTCATTTGGAAGAGATGCTAGCATACTTTTTATATTAGAAATTGGCTCAAAATGCACTCTTAGAAAAATTGCACTTTTAACTCATTATTTCATTTTCTTTGGGTTCATATGGTACAAAATTGGCTTTATGCAAATGTGTTTTGGTAGAAATAGACTCAGAGAGTGAAATGTTGATATTAAAGTGTTATTTTTGTTGAAATACATGCTTAAAATGCTGATTGGGAGTATTGAAGCTGAAGTGTTTGAGCAAACATTGTGAAACTTATTTCCAACGTGATGATTGATACCAATCCAGATCAATTTTGTCTAGTCTTTTGATAAGTATTGCAAAAAGTTAACAGTTTGATGGCATACCTGAGAAGACAGTGCAGGGACTTCTGCTTCTACCCCAAAAGCAGAGTGGAAAAGTCTTAACTAGTTGTTACCTTTTCTCAACGAAGAGAAATTTAGATCTGGTATTTCTATTTCATTGTTGATAGAGGAAGCCAGTCCAGTAGATGAAGAAGTTCTGTTTTTTCCTGATTGCTTCTTTACTTAGGGAAGACAACAGAAAACCAAAATATTTGGTTTGCTGCTTTTAAAACGCAGTTTTACAGTGAAATATTCTTCCTCTGATGGCATATGAATGTGCTGTTATGTCTGTGAGATAGACATTGAAAATGGATCGTTTGCATATCTTTTTGAAAATGCTTATTCATCCTCTTGCCTCAGATACATTGGTTAACTGTAAAGCGGATGTAACCAAATAATGAGGTGAATGAACCCTAACTGTACATGCAGCCTTGACATAAATGAAATGCACAGCATTGTAGCAGGTGAAGTGAAGCATTGTCTATTTGGGCTGTTTTTCTTGGCTGCAACTCAGATTGTGTGGGGGATCCTAACCTCAGGCACAATGGCATTCATAAACAGCAATGCACACACTGCTGCTCTTTCTCCCGCAATGCATAAATACTCATTTTTAAATGAAAAACAATCTTATTAAATACCAGTCATTCATATCTGGATTTACAGATGCTTGTTACTTTAAAAAAAAAATCTGCCTAATAGTTTTTAGCTGTAACTGGGGAATGTGTAAAACATATTTAATCTTAACAACTTTCCTAATAATTTAAAAGATATGAATAATGTATCTGGCAGTAAAATACAATTTCAGAAAAGAAATTTAATGAATATTGCATAGTTACTTATTGCAAACAATTAAGAATTAGAGTTGTAAAAATAACATTAAACCTTAAATGATATTTATTTATGCATTGCTTGATTCATACGTTAAAATATTGATTGATCATTAGTTTAGTTAAAATATGTTAATTATTATTAACACCCCATTTTTTTTACTTTTTTTGAAAAATGAAACTTAGTTAACTTAAGACAGTAAATCTGATTATTATTGAAATGATTTGTTTATTCTGCTTTAGGAACCTGCTGTAAACATTGAGAATACATCTCACTATTTCATTTTGACCTTTTTTTTTAAGTGCTTATTGCAGAAGATAATAATGGGTTCATTACAGTTTGGGGCTCATCTGCTGTGACAAAAGTGCAGTTACCAAATCATGGTAATTACTTTCACAGTATTTTTCAGGGAGGGGGGATGTATTTTAAGTGTTGTAATCAATCACTGTTGCAGCCTTTCAAATTCTAGGCCATGCTTTTAGCTGCTAACCTTAACACACACACACCGTAATAGAAATTAGTAAGAATGGTTAAATGTTAATGAGCTATAGTTGCAGTCTTTTCATGCTATGCTAATTTATGCATTTTTTTTTAAAAAAGTACTACAATGTGTCTTCAAGTTGAATGGTTACCACCCTCCTCTGTAATAAATCATAATCTACCCCTCCTTCCTCCCAACCTCCAAAATCGAATATTAATATAATTTGAGATTTAACTGGTGGAACAGCCATCAGGACAGCAATGCCCTGCAGCTGAAATAATATTTAAAATAGAAGAGATTTGACATTTGATAAGTCAGTGGCTTGAAATACCCAGTTGTACTTAGCTAATTCAGTCCTTAACCTCTGGTTTCAAATAAATCAATTACAGTCGATTCCACTTCAGTTCAGAAGTGCATGAGGTTTTGAGTTAATTGAATACATTTTATTTGCTAGGAATATTCATTTATCCAAACCTTTAAATATAAAGGAGTTTTCTTTGATTGCCCGTGTTAAATTTAACTGCATAATCCAATCAAGACATGCTTGTTTGCTTGGATTCTCTCTAAATTCTATAATGGGTAGCTTGTTTTCTTTACAATGCATACCCTCAGCAAATTGCAATTTTGCTGAATTTTGTTTAAAACAACTGTGGTCTTAGATAGCTTAAGGTGAATTTAAATTCTCTAAAACTAGTGAAAGTTACTCCTCAGGTTACTATTTGGGATAAGTTTGTAGAATAAGACTGGAATTCTGAAATACTTGTAGAATAAGGTATTTAGTTTAGTTATATCTGATTTGTTGACAAGACTGTTGATTAAACTCCTGTCAAAACCAGGTTTAGGATGTTATTTACTTTACAAATAAAGAAAACAAAGCACATCATCTTAACATACTCTCCTCTTAAGTATTGTCTTGAATATAGCCTTTCCTTACCTGGTACCACAAGATGTTTTGAATTACATCTCCCAAAATGCTCAGCCCGCAAAGCCACGGTGGCAGGAATTTTGGGAAATGTAATTCAATACATGTGGAGTGCACAGAGCATCACCCAGCCATCTCTGAAGTGACAGAAAACCTGCCCTCATTGCCGTTTTTTTTGGCAACAATGGTGGTTGAATGACTTTAGATGATACTTAAATTGCTAGTGGGGAAATGGCTTAAAGCTTGAGCACCTTCCTTTAGCTTCCTGCTCCAAAGTAAACCCCTACTGATGTCTGGCAATAAATTGAAGATATGTAATTAGCATGTAAGAGTACAGCCCTATGTAGATTTATCAGAAATTAAGTGCTGGTGTAGATGGAAATTTACTTCCAGTTGAGCCTGCGGAGTTTTGAGTCATAGACAAA